AACCTAAGCCGACACACCAAATCAGAGAAGCACGCTGCAACCCCACACAATGCATCCCAAGCGAGTCACGAGAGTTCAAATTCAAGGTAAGATTCTAACCCAATATCAAATGAATTCTTAAGAGTTCGTTTACCACTAGACTACCTATGGAGCGACATGAGCACAAGTTTTGCTTAAATGGAGTGGTGACCATTAATTAAGACCTTTCACGTATGATGATTTATTTATTTGGACGTAGCTTTACTAGTATTCATGCCCAATTCCCAGTGTCGTAACTGTTCGAGTTCTAGACGAATTGACGTCCGCAAAGTTTAGGAGTCGGATCCAATTACAAATTGGTTCTTAAAATTTTAGTTCAAAAAAAAAAGGGAGTCAATTGTGATTTGCACCCCTCAACTATTTCGCAATCAGTCTTTGCATCCCAAACTTTCAATTTCAGCAATCAACACCTTGAACTTCTAATTCTGGGCAATCCACTATATTTGACAAGTTAAAAAAAGACCATTTTGCATACTTGCTCTTCTTCTGTCCCAAATCAGCCTTCTTTTTTTTAACCCACATAATAAATCCATAAACTTTGCATAAATAATAAGCTGACCTAAAAAAATGCTGTCTTGAAAAAATAGGGCAATCCGAGTCAAGATCACCATCATCGTGCACTCATGGATCTTTTTCCCAATGGCAATAGCAAAACCAACTCCCTGCCCTCTACCTGTACGCCCAATCCCAGAGAAGACACAATAATTCAGCCATCGGTCCCTTATTCCCCCTTTTTTCGTGCTTTCAACTTCCTGTTCTAGAGAAGAGTTTCATAGCCTCGATGTTAAGAATTAGAAAGAGTATGACGTCAACTTGTTTTAGACCAAAAAAAATGGAGGTTGGAGGAGTTTAAATCAAGATATGTTGTTGGACGGTTGAAATTGAAAAAGAAATGTTTTTGGTGAAAAAAAATAGTTTTGTTTTTGCAATAGGGAGAGACAATCATGATGAGTCTTAGAGGTTCGAAATTAAGGGGTTCTGGCAGTAGCAATGTTATTGCTATTCTGACGAGATTTAGATGTGGGATTTTTTCTTATTTGTTTTCTTGTCTCCTAAAGATCCTATTCCTTTTTTTTCCTTTGTATTTTATTACCTTTCTATTAATGAGTTTTAAAAAGTTAAGGTGACCATGGTGGCTAAGATGTTTATGATGTTAGTGGTGGCAGAGTGATCAAGAGGTTGCTATTGATAGTATGACATTTGACTAATGAGGACTGTGAGATTTGGGTATGGATTATGACCTGATTTCTGTTCATGTTTGATGAGTTTTTAGATATTAATTTACGCTTTTTTGAAAGGGCTTTTGTTTTGAAGAATATTTGTAGGGTAAGGGAGGGTATTTTTGGAGGTTTGGCAAAAATTTGAAAGTAAACAAGTATAATCTCTCTCTCTCTCTCTCTCTTTATTAGATTAGCTTGATTTATAAATTGTTCAAAAAATTAGAAGTTGAAGGTAGTGGTCTACTGGAATTTAAAGTTTGGGATGCAAAGTCCAATTGCCAAATGGTTGAGGGGTACAAATTATAATTAACCCAAAAAATGTTGACAATTAATTTTGATCAAATTTGTCCCTAATATTTTGATCTAAACAACTAAATATGCTAAAATAAATTAATTGACCAAATTGGTGCATGATATTTTATAAAATCAAAGAAAATATGTTAATATAATATAAAAATACCAAAAAATCAAAAACAATACGTTAATATAATCCAAATTAGAGGACCCAAGAATTGTAGTATACTATGCTATGGAAATATGTGGCATAAAAATTAAAGTAAAATCACAAAAAAAATTTAAAAATTCTATAAAATATAAAAATAACTTCAAGGTATTTATTTTTGACCAAATGAAGACAATTGGTGCTAAATTATAAATTGGTATATTCAAACTATAATGCTTGATGCATTTTGCTATTAAAAAAAAGTACACAAAAAGTAAATAAATAGAGCCCATGCGCATACATGCTTTATTCCATTATTAAATTGGATTTCTATGTTACCTTACAATTAATTTTTAGGTGTTTAAAAATGAAATAAAATTACATAAAACCAATGAAAAATCGCAAAATATATTCAAAATATAATAGAGTCACTCTTTCAATAAAAGGAAAAGCTTAGCTTTATTTGATCAAAATCGATCATCATACACTTATTTACATTTTTTAGAAGTATTGAAAATTTTGGTGACTTTTCTATTAACTTTATCTTATATTTATAGAATTTTACGTACTTTGTATCATATTTATAATTTTTCTTAGATTTCATAAAACATTTGGGGCTAAATTCTTCATAAAGCATTTTCTTAGATTTTATAAAACATTTGTAAGAATTTAAATTCTTGATAAGAAAATTGAAGAAGTTCCCAATTTTGCACTTCATGTAGAACGATTGCCCTGCACTTTGATATTTGTGTCAATTGTCTGCTTCTCTCAGACCCAACTCAAGTGCATCATGCTTTTACCGGTTTGGATCCAAATTTTAAAAGCTAAACTCTGCTCAGATCCATATTGTGTAAATGAATTTTTAATTGGGGTAAGATCTAGTTTTGCACAAGCCAGCTCAAATCCAGATCTAAACCCAAATCCGAAATAGACTAACACATACTTAACTAGTAATTAATGGATCAACCGTAAATGGGTCATATAATGTTTTAAACATTTTTTTCTTTCTAAAGTAGCTTGAAACTAGACTTTTTTTTGTAACATTTTTCATAAATTACATTTAGTGATTAACCAAGATTTGGATTTCATAATAATCTATAGTTTGACTAAAAATTGAGAAGTGGAGCAGCTTCAAATACAAGCAAATTAGACACGGGATGTAGATGAAATTTTTGAAGAAAATAGACTTAGTTGATGTGGTTTTATGGTTTTAGTTCTTAATTGTTGTACACAACATTCTACAATGTTGATTTTGTTATTTCTAAATGGTGCTTGGATTGTATTTGTGCATGTTCTTAACTAACTTTGCAAATCTAATTTTAGCTTTTGATTTTCAAAAAGGTATTTTATTATGTTTTCGACTGATTTTGATAACCCAGTTTCAGATTTTTTAGGTCCAAAAAAAGCTAAAAATTAGAAGGAAATCTTGAGCAGTTTTTAGATTTTGATTGTAGCGTATTTTTTCATGCAGACAGAAATACTCTTCTAATTTTAAACATAATTACTACCTAAAGGCAAGATAAATTTTATTGCTTCACATCTCGCTCCATTCTGCTCCTATTCTTCTCTTACCTCCAGATGTGTATCTGTTCCTCTTTCCTCTTTGTTTTTCTTCTCCAACAGTTGATCTCTATAAGTAAAGTAATTAATTACAAATTATCTGATTAGCACAAAACACTAATTTGGTCATCTGTTTTTTCAAAATAGCTTTTTAAATAGTAAGCAAAAACAAATAAATTATTCTCAAAAATCTGATTTCTGATAATCAATTTTATTAAATCAACTTTTACAAAATCCAGCCTTTCTTCTCTATGTAGGGCCAATCTGAAAGAGAAGAGAATCAAATAGTTCTTGGTTGTGAATTTTGAACTGGTTGTTTGTTGCTCAAGAATTCTTGTTTAGGCAGCTAATAGCACTCATACATTTTTTTTTGGGGCAAATATGAATCTTTATTGATCAAGAAATAAGCGAGTATACAAGAATCTAACAATTCCTTCTTACATAAATCCTATCACTATTATACTGGATGCAATCATACATTTTGTTTTGATCTACAATTTATCGAAACATATTGTTGCGCAGAGTTAAGGTGCGAAATAAAATATGCAAGAAAGAAGCATTTCCAATTAGAGGTACCAATTACAATCTAATTATGTTGATCTTCCCAAACCCGTTCACCAATAACTCATCCAAACTCGATCATTAATTTTCAATGGGTCTAAATGAGTGCCCAATTAAACCCATTTAATTAGTGGGTTGGGAGTTGGCTCTACTCATCCATTTATACCCATTTAAAAATAATTATATATTTAAACTCAACTTTTAGTGAGTGTTAAGAAAATAAATTTAAAATTTTTATGAACCTAATAATAATAAAATCCCATTATTTATTGTCAAACAACACGCAAAAGAAAAAAAAACGTAGAATTTTGAATGACTTATAAATGAAAAATGGGTATAAACGGGTATCCATTTGTATCTATTTATTTAAATAAGTATAAATGGATGGATCTAGTTATACTTATTACCCAATTATAACCCACCCAAATCTGCCTGAATTACACATTTTAACACCTCTATTATTAATATGTCTATTTATTCGCCTGTTTTGCCTCTTTGAGTTTCTTTGTTTGCCCAATCAAAATGTTTCGTGTACTTCATCAAGTTGTTTTAGTTAAGGAATTACTTTGAAAGGTACATCTAACTTTGTCAACAAAACCACAAGGTTAGCCCAGTGGCCGAATGAAAACTTTAGAGTTTTCCTCACTATTAGGATTTGGGGTTCAGATCTTGTGTTTGAGAGTTGGAGGTGGGAGGATACAAAAAAAAAAAAAAACTTCATTGCCAAAAAAATAATGATTGGCTGAAATGGAAAATACGACTTTTCAGCAGAGACAAAATAATGAGTGATATTTTAAAGGATATTACGGTTTCTTCGCTGAACAAATATAATGGATATTATGACAATTGACCCTGTTGTATCTCTTGGTGCAATATAATGAACTAGATGGGATCTGGTTTTGATTCTTTTATGATATCACACAAAATAAATCAAGACTAAAGATATTGCTAATAATTTAGCAAAAGACATGCAGTAGGGCAAATACAGGATTAGAGAGCAATAAACTTTTTTTGGGGGGGTGCTTTTTTATTTTATTTTTATTTAAAATTTTCAGCCAAGATGACCAAACATACATTAAACCTGTATTTGCACCACCAAACTTCATATTCGGATATCATTAAAAATAAGGGCTTGCCGTACGTGGGATAACATGTATATTGGCACAATTTAGGCATCCCTATGGAGTACTATTATCCATGATCAAGCAGGAACGACTGTAAGGAATTGGAATCAAGAGCAGATCATTTTTCCGCCTCATTGTAATGCCAAATTTTGCAGTCATGTCTAATTCTTCTTGTTTCATTTCACCAGGGAGCTTCCAATCAAAATGGAACAATAATTGTGCAAGAGCTAGCTGAATAACTGGTTGAGAAAATGCTATGCCTGGACAAATCCTTCTTCCAGCACCAAATGGGATGTATTCAAAATCATCCCCTTGGAAATCAATTCTAGAATCAAGAAATCGTGAAGGATTGAATTTCTCAGCTTCACTCCAGTATTTGGGATCTCTGCCAATTGCCCGTGCATTAACGAAAAGTCTTGCCTTGGCTGGTATCTGATAACCATTGATTTCACATTGTTCACCACATTCTCTTGGCACTAAGAGTGGAGCGCTTGGATGTAATCTCAAAATCTCCTTAATGATTGCATCCAAGTATTTGAGCTCATGAAGGCGTGATTCATCAACATTTCCTTGGCCATCAAACAAACTTCTCACCTCATCTTGTTCCCTTTTCATTATTTGTGGCTTTCTAATCATTTCTGACATTGCCCATTCCATGGCTGTTGCTGAGGCCTCACTACTGGCAGCGAAAATGTTCTGAAACATAGATAGGAACATATACCAGTGAAGATTACATATTATGAACTGGGGCTTTAATTGGCCTTTGTGAATAGGGGTGGCGAAACAGCAATTCGCCCGCATCAAACTCTTCGTTCGTACTGGCTACAACTGAAGGTCCCTCCACCGCACTGGTAGCTCCGGTCTCCATGGAGCTACCGCAACCACTCACGCAGCCACCACCCTTGCAGCCACCGCCCCAGCCACCATCCCCACAGTCTCTGCAGTTGATTGAAGACATGCCGCCACCCCCCCAAACCCCCCCCCCCCTCAGCCACCCTTTGCACCCTCTCCCCCACCCCTTAGCAACACACTGAAAACCTCCTTCCAACCCTCTCATGTCACCTCCTACAAAGATAGCCTTGACAAAACCCTCTGTGACCACATCTCCACTATTCATGAATCCTTCATTTCCTCTTATCATGATGACTGCTCTGATTCAGAAGATGAATCATCAGAAGACTTGGCAATCCCCATCCACAAATCGGATAAACAAAGAATGAGGAAACCATGGAAACATGCTTTGATTGTCAAAGTATTCAAGAAGCACTTGGAGTTCAAATTCTTCGACCAAAAGATCAGAGAGCTGTGGAAACCGTGCAGAAATATGTCTCTTATAGACATTGGAAAAGGTTTCTACATAGCCAAGTTTGATTCTCCCGAAGATTTCCTCAAAGTTGTAAAGGGAGGGCCTTGGTATATTCTTAAGTATTTCGTATCTATTCAACAATGGGTACCAAATTTCAACTCCAAGAATGGTCAACCCTCTACTACAGCAACCTGGGTTCGTCTCCCGGGACTCCCTTTAGAATACTATGATCGGGAAATCCTTGCCAGAGTGGGAAATAAAATTGGGAAGTTAATCTCCATGGATGCACGCACAGCAAACTCGAAAAGGGGGCGCTACGCCAGATTTTGTATAGAAATTGACCTCTCCAAACCTTTCCCCACTTCTCTCAAATTTGGTAGGTATGTCCAAGAATTACAATTTGAGGGCTTATCCTTCTGTTTTGGCTATGGGTACGTGGGCCATGACTCTGGGAAATGTCAAGAATTTGGTCGTCGGTCCGCTTCTTCTTATCAATATGGCTAGCCGACAGGGAAAGCTGACCGTATTTTCTCCGCAACGCCACAGAACCCAGAAGATGCCCACATTCATTGCAGCTCCGCTTCGCCGCAAAACCCAGAAGATGCCCACATTCATGGTAGCTCCTTCGGGCCTTGGATGACCGTTCCTCATAACCACCACCCAAAAACCAAAGGCAAACCCCTTGACCGGCTTCAGCCCAAACCCCCTTCAACAAAAAATTCAAATTCAAACATTTCAAGTCTGTCTGGCACATCTCAACCACCAAAAAAGGTCCAACACCCAAAAATTTCCTCTTCAATGTTACTCTCGAACAAATCGTTGACCGTAGACAATGCATTCAAACCCCTTGCTGACCTAGACCTTGAGCCACCTCCCTCTGGGAACTTCTCCCGAAGTCATCCAATTCTCCCTTTGCATACAACTCAGGAATGGCTTTCCAAAGACAGCTCTCTGGGCTCCCTTCCTTTCACCAATTTGGAAAATCCTAAAAAGATGAACCCAGAAAATACAACTGCACCAACCCGTGACCTTCATGCTCATCACTCAGTCTCTTTGGATTCTCGAATGATGGAGCCTCCTTCCCCCACTATTTCTCAACTCGTGCAGCCTAGTCCTCATACCAGAAATCCTCCATCCCCCCATAAACAACAAAAGCTGTCCCCCCATGTCTCCACCAAGCTCCAGAAACTCCTCCTCAACCCCGCAAATGCATCGATCCAGAACGACATCCCGCCACTCCAGAACTGCCTGCCGGCTGCACCAGACCGGCATGAGCAACCCACTTTCGACTCCACCGGCCACTTCATTGGCTTGGAAGAAGGTGAGCTCCCACAATATTTACAACCCCCTTCTCAAGTATCAGAACCAACTTCCCATAGAGGATTTCAACCGCCTGAGAGACTGCAACATCTTGGGCAACCTCCTAGTCTGGAGCCACCCATCAGGGATGGCAACGACAATGGAGTTCGACCTGGCAGCATTCCTGGGCCTAAGATATCCCACCTACCTGGATCATTGGATCCCGCCAATACCAATGATGGGGCCGGGGAGACCTGTTAGTGTGGCGTTGTCCCACATTGACTTTTGTATAAGGGAACCTTTTCCTTGGTTGCCTATAAATATAGTGGGCCTGTGATGGAGTTAAGTGCACCAAAACCAAGAGAGCATTAGTGGGCTATTTGGGCCTTTGGGTCATTAAGCCTTTTTGTTTAGTTAAATACTTTTGGGCTCTCTTGTGTTTTAGTATTAGGTGTTTTGGGTGTAGGAACACTTTCCTAAGGCATCTTTTGTACTCTCTTCTTCATAGTAAAATACTGCTCCTCCTCCGCCCGTGGACGTAGGTCAATTTGACCGAACCACGTAAATTCTTGTGTTCTTGTTTTACTTATTTCCGCTTTGTTATTTGTCTTTTGGGGTTGCTACAAATCTTTTTGTCAATTTCCTGGGGCCAGACCTAACAAACTGGTATCAGAGCTTCTTCCGAGGCTTTGAATTTTGTGGCAACAATGACAATAACAAAGACTATCGTTGAGAAATTCGACAGGAATGTCAACTTCGGGATGTGGCAGCTCAAGATGGAGGCCATTTTGGTTCAAGACGGAGTTGATCTAGCGATACACAGAATTGAGAAAAAGCCAAAGAGTGTGACAGAAGCAAATTTTGCTGAGATGGATAAGAAGGCGAGATCCAGTATTATCTTAAATCTTTCTGATGAGGTTTTGCGGGAGGTAGCCACTGAAACTTCGGCAAAGGCCATGTGGGACAAACTTAAGGTCTTGTACATGAAGAAGACAGTTGAGAATCGGCTTTATTTAAAGCAAAGTTTGTATATGCTTCGCATGACTGAAGGTACATCTATACTCTCACATCTTGATAAATTTGATTCCATTATTATGGATTTGGAAAACATAGATTCAAAAATTGATGATGAGGATTAGGCCCTGTTACTTTTGTGTTCCCTTCCCTAATCTTTTAAACATTTTCGCGATACTATGATTTATAGAAAGGAAACAATTTCGTATCGGAAAATTAAATCTGCATTAAAATCTAAGGAGCAGATAGACAGGGATATTACTGGAGAATTTAGTGGGGGCCATGCAGAAGGTCTGGTTGTTAGGGGCAGAACTGAGAGAAGAGAATTTGATAAAAGTAGATCTAAATTTAGATCTAAATCCAAACATAGAAATGTGGAGTGCAATTATTGTCATAAAATAGGCACATTAAGGCAGATTGTTTCAAATTGAAAAATAAATTGAAACAAAAGGGAAAACCTGGTGAGAAAAATTTTGAAACTGCCGAAACTGGTGTTGCAGCTGATGAGAATGAAGGAAGTATTTTCTTTGTGACTGATGACAGGACAAGGTCTAAAAATGAATGGATTTTAGATTCGGGGTGCTCTTATCACATGTGTCCCAATAGGGATTTATTTTTCACTTATGAATCTTACAATGGTGGAATTGTTTTGATGGGTAATAATACTGCATGTAATGTTGTTGGTAAGGGTACAATTCGAATTAAAATGCATGATGGTATTGTGAGGACGCTCACTAATGTTAGACATGTTCCTGATTTGAAAAAGAATCTCATCTCTTTGGGCACTCTAGAGGCTCTTGGGTGCAAATACACAGGTGAAAATGACATTATGAAGGTTTCTAAAGGTGCTTTCGTTGTAATGAAAGCTTGCAGGGTTGGTAGTTTATATGTTTTGCAGGGATCTACTGTCACAGGCTCGGTTGCAGTTTCGTCATCATCATCTTTGTCTGATTCTGACATCACTAAATTGTGGCATATGCGTTTGGGACATATGAGCAAGAAAGGCCTGGGCATACTAAGCAAAAGGGGACTTCTTTGCGGTCAGAGTACTGGGTCACTGGAATTCTGTGAACATTGTATCTTTGGGAAGCAAAAAAGAGTTAGCTTCAGTTCTCAAGCAATCCATAAGACGAAATGTACTCTTGATTATATTCATTCAGATTTATGGGGTCCATCTCGTGTTCCGTCTAAGGGTGGTGCCAGGTATATGTTGACTTTCATTGATGATTATTCAAGAAAAGTTTGGATTTATTTTCTTAAACATAAGAATGATGTTTACCTCACTTTCAAGCGATGAAAAGTTTTGATTGAGAAACAGACAGGTAAACAGGTCAAGCGGCTTAGAACAGATAATGGTATGGAATTTTGTGAAAGAGAATTTGATGAATTTTGCAAGAATGAAGGAATTGTTCAGCATCACACTGTCAGGATGACGCCTCAGTAAAATGGTGTGGCCGAACGTATGAACAGAACACTTTTGGAGAGAGCGAGGTGCATGATCTCTAACGCAGGATTGGCCAAGGATTTTTGGGCTGAAGCAATTTCTATGGCCTGTTATATTGTCAACCGTGCTCCTTCTGCTGCTCTTAATTTCAAAACTCCTGAGAAAATTTGGTCAGGTACTCCTGCTGATTATTCTGATTTTAAAATTTTTGGGTGTCCAGCATACATGCATGTAAATGATGGAAAATTGGAACCTCGAGCTAAAAAGTGTATTTTCCTTAGGTATGCTTTTGGGGTGAAAGGATACAGATTATGGTGTCCGGATTCTAAATCTCCAAAATTTATAATCAGTAGAGATGTTACTTTTGATGAATTCTCTATGTTATCTTCCAAGAAAGAGTCTTCTAGTTCTTGTCAAACAGATGATAGCATGCAGAAGCAGGTGGAGCTTGAGATTGGTAGTTCTGGTCCTTCTATTCAACAAGTGCCAGTAGATGCATCTGAATCTACTGATGAAAATAATTCAGAAGAGAAAGAATATTCCATTGCCAGAGATAGACCAAGGAGGGATATTCGACCACCACAAAGATATGCAAATTTGGTTGCATATGCTTTGTCTATCGCACAAGAAACTGATGTAGTTGATGAACCTACTACTTATTCAGATGCGATTTCTTGTGATGATTCTGCTAAGTGGTTGGTTGCGATGAATGAAGAAATTGAGTCTCTCCATCGAAATAAAACTTGGGTTCTTGTGAAGCTGCCTCCAGGTAAGAAAATTGTTGGATGAAAATGGGTCTTCAAGAAGAAAGAAAGTATTCCAGGAGTTGAAGATACAAGGTATAAAACACGATTGGTTGCAAAGGGCTATAGTCAGGTACAAGGTGTTGATTTTAATGAAGTATTTTCACCTGTTGTTAAGCATAGCTCTATTCGTGTTTTGCTTGCTTTAGTTGCCATGTATGATTTGGAGTTGGAGCAACTTGATGTTAAGACAGCTTTTTTACATGGTGAACTTGAAGAAAAAATTTATATGAAACAACCTCAGGGATTTGAAATTGAAGGAAAGGAAGACCATGTTTGTTTGTTAAAAAAATCCTTATATGGATTGAAACAGTCTCCAAGACAGTGGTATAAGAGATTTGACACTTTTATGCTGAGTCATGGTTATTCAAGGAGCATGTATGATAGTTGCATTTACTTCCGGAAGTTAGATGATGGTTCTTTTATTTATTTGCTATTTTATGTTGATGACATGCTTATTGCTGCCAAGAATTTGTCAGATATTCACACTTTGAAGTTGCAGTTAAGTAGTGAATTTAACATGAAACATTTGGGAGTAACTAAGAAAATTCTTGGCATGGAGATCAAAAGAAACCGAGGAGCTGGAAAATTATTCTTGACTCAAGAAAATTATCTTGAGAAGGTTTTGGAGAAGTTTGGCATGAAAGATGCTAAACCTGTGACTACTCCTCTTGCTAGTCATGTTCGACTATCTGCTGCTCAGTCACCACAGTCAGTTGAAGAGGAAGAGTATATGACACGGGTTCCTTATTCCAACGCAGTTGGTAGCATTATGTATGCAATGGTTTGTACTCGTCCAGATATTGCACAAGCGGTCAGTGTAGTTAGCAGGTATATGTCGTGTCCTGGAAAAGCACATTGACAGGCTGTGAAGTGGATTTTCAGATACTTGCAAGGGATTTCAAATTGTAGTTTGGAGTTTGGAAGAAATAATGGCACTTTGA